TATATATATATATATATAAAAGGTATATTATTTGGCCCAGTGATTTAATATTTTACGTGATTGTTTATAAAATTTGAGAATAAATAGTATTTAATAATATTTTGTGTTTTATTTTACAAATAGATTTAAATAATTTGTTATATGTAATGGGAAATTAAATGTTTCGAAAACTTTTCGTATTGACAAATTGATTTAAATAATTTGTTATATGTGATGGGAAATTAAATGTTACGCAATTCTTTGTATTGACAAATTGATTTAAATAATTTGTTATATGTGGTGGTTAATTAAATGTTACGAATTTTTTTTTTGTATTATTTGACAAATAGATTTAAATAATTTGTTATAAGAAAATAAATATTACGAAATTTTCTGTATTATTAGACAAATTGATTTAATTACTTCATTATATTTATGCAAACTAGAATTCTATATTTCCTACTCAGCGCGCTAGTTAACGAAATATGAGAATTCTTCTAAAATTATATGTTGATAACATTATGCAATACATTTTATAAATTTATTTTAATCATTTTGTTATATTTATGTAATGGCAGATTAAATGCTAAGAATATTTTCTGTATAATTTTACTCGTTGATTTATTAATTACTTCGTTTTATTTATCTAATCATACATCTTGATTTCAAATTTTTCGAATTTGCTTATGAAACATGAGATATCTAGGGGAATTAAATGAAAACGAATCCACCACCTGTCAGTATCGTCTGTGGGAATTTCCTTCCCTTTTAGCCTTGCTCTATAGTTCAATAATCCATTAAATTATTCTCCCTGAAGTACCCTCCCCCCCTTTTTTTTTCTTCCACAGGATGCCAGATTTCTCCTCTAGGTCAAGGGGGAAAAAATAGCTCTAGGTGTTTGTTACAGTTGTAATGGGAAGGAGGTTAGAGTAATGATACCATTCGCAATTCAGTGATCATATTTTATTTTATTAAATCTAATAGAGCTATTTATTAATTTCATAATTTAACCTATTTATTTAAATAGGTTGCATTTTTTTTGACGAAATCTAATTTTGGAAAGGTATTGGTTGAGTAATTTTGGAGAATTAACAATAAAGAAGTTGAAATAATAAATATTATTAATACGACATTTAAAAATTATTTTTAAAAAAATTATGTTAGAATTAGCGTGTTCTTCCAATGATTTGTATCAATTTGTATACGCTCTTTTAGTTCTTGCAATTCTGTGCAATACGGAAACAATTTATTCATTTGTTTTACGGACTAGTGTGTTTATTTACTTGTGGGGTAATTAAATTCGGGAAATTTTTTTTTGTAATTTGGTTATTTTATACAAATTAAACACCGTACATAAATTATACATAAATTATTGCTTAATTATTATATAAATTATTAATTTCATAATTTAACCTATTTATTTAAATAGGTTGCATTATTTTGACGAAATCTAATTTTAGAAAGGTATTGGTTGAGCAATTTTGGAGAATTAACAATGAAGAAGTTGAAACAATAAACATTAATACGACATTAAAAAATTATTTAAAAAAAAATTATGTTAGAATTAGCGTGTTCTTGCAATAATTTGTATACGCTCCTTTAGTTCTTGCAATTCTGTGCAATTCGGAAACAATTTATTTATTTGTTTTGCGGACTAGTGTATTTACTCGTGGAGTAATTAAATTCGGGAAATTTTTTTTTGTTATTTGATTATTTTATACAACTAAACACCATACATAAATTATACTTAAATTATTACTTAATTATTACATAAATTATTAATTTCATAATTTAACCTATTTATTTAAATAGGTTGCATTTTTTTGACGAAATCTAATTTTAGAAAGGTATTGGTTGAGCAATTTTGGAGAATTAACAATGAAGAAAATGAAACAATAAACATTAATACGACATTAAAAAATTATTTAAAAAAAAATTATGTTAGAATTAGCGTGTTCTTGCAATAATTTGTATACGCTCCTTTAGTTCTTGCAATTCTGTGCAATTCGGAAACAATTTATTTATTTGTTTTGCGGACTAGTGTATTTACTCGTGGAGTAATTAAATTCGGGAAATTTTTTTTTGTTATTTGATTATTTTATACAACTAAACACCATACATAAATTATACTTAAATTATTACTTAATTATTACATAAATTATTAATTTCATAATTTAACCTATTTATTTAAATAGGTTGCATTTTTTTGACGAAATCTAATTTTAGAAAGGTATTGGTTGAGCAATTTTGGAGAATTAACAATGAAGAAAATGAAACAATAAACATTAATACGACATTAAAAAATTATTTAAAAAAAAATTATGTTAGAATTAGCGTGTTCTTGCAATAATTTGTATACGCTCCTTTAGTTCTTGCAATTCTGTGCAATTCGGAAACAATTTATTTATTTGTTTTGCGGACTAGTGTATTTACTCGTGGAGTAATTAAATTCGGGAAATTTTTTTTTGTTATTTGATTATTTTATACAACTAAACACCATACATAAATTATACTTAAATTATTACTTAATTATTACATAAATTATTAATTTCATAATTTAACCTATTTATTTAAATAGGTTGCATTTTTTTGACGAAATCTAATTTTAGAAAGGTATTGGTTGAGCAATTTTGGAGAATTAACAATGAAGAAAATGAAACAATAAACATTAATACGACATTAAAAAATTATTTAAAAAAAAATTATGTTAGAATTAGCGTGTTCTTGCAATAATTTGTATACGCTCCTTTAGTTCTTGCAATTCTGTGCAATTCGGAAACAATTTATTTATTTGTTTTGCGGACTAGTGTATTTACTCGTGGAGTAATTAAATTCGGGAAATTTTTTTTTGTTATTTGATTATTTTATACAACTAAACACCATACATAAATTATACTTAAATTATTACTTAATTATTACATAAATTATTAATTTCATAATTTAACCTATTTATTTAAATAGGTTGCATTTTTTTGACGAAATCTAATTTTAGAAAGGTATTGGTTGAGCAATTTTGGAGAATTAACAATGAAGAAAATGAAACAATAAACATTAATACGACATTAAAAAATTATTTAAAAAAAAATTATGTTAGAATTAGCGTGTTCTTGCAATAATTTGTATACGCTCCTTTAGTTCTTGCAATTCTGTGCAATTCGGAAACAATTTATTTATTTGTTTTGCGGACTAGTGTATTTACTCGTGGAGTAATTAAATTCGGGAAATTTTTTTTTGTTATTTGATTATTTTATACAACTAAACACCATACATAAATTATACTTAAATTATTACTTAATTATTACATAAATTATTAATTTCATAATTTAACCTATTTATTTAAATAGGTTGCATTTTTTTGACGAAATCTAATTTTAGAAAGGTATTGGTTGAGCAATTTTGGAGAATTAACAATGAAGAAAATGAAACAATAAACATTAATACGACATTAAAAAATTATTTAAAAAAAAATTATGTTAGAATTAGCGTGTTCTTGCAATAATTTGTATACGCTCCTTTAGTTCTTGCAATTCTGTGCAATTCGGAAACAATTTATTTATTTGTTTTGCGGACTAGTGTATTTACTCGTGGAGTAATTAAATTCGGGAAATTTTTTTTTGTTATTTGATTATTTTATACAACTAAACACCATACATAAATTATACTTAAATTATTACTTAATTATTACATAAATTATTAATTTCATAATTTAACCTATTTATTTAAATAGGTTGCATTTTTTTGACGAAATCTAATTTTAGAAAGGTATTGGTTGAGCAATTTTGGAGAATTAACAATGAAGAAAATGAAACAATAAACATTAATACGACATTAAAAAATTATTTAAAAAAAAATTATGTTAGAATTAGCGTGTTCTTGCAATAATTTGTATACGCTCCTTTAGTTCTTGCAATTCTGTGCAATTCGGAAACAATTTATTTATTTGTTTTGCGGACTAGTGTATTTACTCGTGGAGTAATTAAATTCGGGAAATTTTTTTTTGTTATTTGATTATTTTATACAACTAAACACCATACATAAATTATACTTAAATTATTACTTAATTATTACATAAATTATTAATTTCATAATTTAACCTATTTATTTAAATAGGTTGCATTTTTTTGACGAAATCTAATTTTAGAAAGGTATTGGTTGAGCAATTTTGGAGAATTAACAATGAAGAAAATGAAACAATAAACATTAATACGACATTAAAAAATTATTTAAAAAAAAATTATGTTAGAATTAGCGTGTTCTTGCAATAATTTGTATACGCTCCTTTAGTTCTTGCAATTCTGTGCAATTCGGAAACAATTTATTTATTTGTTTTGCGGACTAGTGTATTTACTCGTGGAGTAATTAAATTCGGGAAATTTTTTTTTGTTATTTGATTATTTTATACAACTAAACACCATACATAAATTATACTTAAATTATTACTTAATTATTACATAAATTATTAATTTCATAATTTAACCTATTTATTTAAATAGGTTGCATTTTTTTGACGAAATCTAATTTTAGAAAGGTATTGGTTGAGCAATTTTGGAGAATTAACAATGAAGAAAATGAAACAATAAACATTAATACGACATTAAAAAATTATTTAAAAAAAAATTATGTTAGAATTAGCGTGTTCTTGCAATAATTTGTATACGCTCCTTTAGTTCTTGCAATTCTGTGCAATTCGGAAACAATTTATTTATTTGTTTTGCGGACTAGTGTATTTACTCGTGGAGTAATTAAATTCGGGAAATTTTTTTTTGTTATTTGATTATTTTATACAACTAAACACCATACATAAATTATACTTAAATTATTACTTAANGGTATCTTTTGAACTAATTCTAGATGATCATATACATTTCAAAATCTAGTCTTCTTTTCTCAACTACATTTTTTGTCTCAAATTTAATGCCTAGCTTGAGCCTATGACTTTATTTATTTTACTTAATTTATTTATTACTTTGCGAGTATATTTTACTTATAATATTAGATGGTTTTCGAGTGAGGGGGGGGGGGGCGCTAAAAAGGTATTGTGCCCCGGGCGCGAGTTAAGCTCGCTACGGCACTGGGATGTAGGGATCCGAAAATGGCTAGTTTATTTAATTTTTTAAAAATATAAATAAATGAGTCTGTAATATGTTAAAAAAGAATTGCAATTTTTTATTAAGGAGTAATATTTTTTTACTTGAAGATATTTACGTTCGCTAGTGTTGTTGAATCCATTGTGTCCGTTATCAAGAGGTTTATAAGTTTGCGAATCCTTCGCAGAATTATGCAAATCTGCGGAGTATATTTGAATTGTTCATACATCAGCCAACAGAACATCTCCAGAGTGTCGTGGGTTCGTTGCCTAATCATAGGGGTGAGAGTGCATTTTAGCTGTAGAGATGCATATTAAACTAGTGATAATGGGCTCCTCTAGGTACCCTTATGTCTCGATGCGCTACCCCAAGTTTGCCGCAACACGCACTTAAGGAATCCCTTTTTTAAAGTTAATTGCTTAAGACTCACTTTAACCAAGGGTCTGTTTAGAAGAAATTTGGGTCCGTTAGAGGTTATTAAATTGCTGACATGGAACAATCCAAAGTGCCGAATGAAGCGAAATCCGCCAAACTCACTTCCTCTCCCCTTGTGTAGACTTGGTTTAGTTATTATTTTTAGAATTTATATCTTTGGAGGTGACTACATTCGTAAAAATTTGTTTTCACGAATGTATATAATTAGAATGTTCTAATAATTCTAATTATATAAGTAACAGGTGCTAAATTATTTTTGTAATGAATTCAAATATTTCCCTATTAAACAAAATTACGGTTCACTTTTAAAAAGAAATTAATATTGGGTATTTTTATTTCGCCAAGAATCAACAGGGTGGACAGTCCAGAACAGTTGTCCAGAAGAGCGGTAGTGTTAGAATTCTGGCCACCCTTTGTTTTTACTCTCATTTTAGTTTTCCGTCACTCCCGGCTTCAAGATTAACGCATTGAATTGCCATCCAGGTAACTTGTACAGGTTAATGGTCAATCTTCGACTTGTAAATGGAGTCTAACTTTCGATTTCCAGCACCCCAGCACTTTGGTATAAGGAGTGGGATGTTTAGCACTTAGGTATCAGGAGTGGGATGTTTAGCACTTTGGTATCAGGAGTGGGATGTTTAGCACTTTGGTATCAGGAGTGGGATGTTTAGATTTTTGGTATCAAGTGCACTACAAAAAGAGATAAACTTTGACTCTTTATTATAGTTGGCTTTCAGTGAGATCGTTCATACAACCTGTTATTTAACGCAAACCCTGCTTTAAACAAGATCAAAACCGACATTTCGAATAAGACCTAAGTATTTCCTACATTCTCTGGCCAAATTATTAGACGCAGTATTAGATTCTATGTACAATCTTAATCATCAAGTGATTGTATACAGCTTTATTGTTTTTACGAGACTGAAACCGGGTTGCACTTGTTTACGTTCGTGCATCAACTGGTTAACATTGTAATGCAATATGTTAAAAATAAATACAAATAGGAAGCATATAAAAAATCTCCTGAATAAAAACCTATTACATATATGTTTAAATATAAAAATATTGCATATAAACTCGTGCATATAATTATTAAGAAACTACAGTGCGTCTAATAATTTGGCCTAGTTATTATAATATACTAAACGACCGGTAACTGAGTGATAGCTCTTTGCGCTCCCGTGCCACAGGTCCTGGGTTCGTTCCTCGGGTCGGGCAAGGTTGACTCAGCCTTTCATCCCCTCAGTGGGTCGATAAATGAGTACCAAGCATGCTTGGGAACTAAACACTGGGGATTCCGCTTTCGGCTGACCACCTGACCGGAACATCTGCTCATGCACCCCAGAGCCCAAGTTCAAGAAAACTGAGATGGGCACAATGTAGGCCTTGGCCCTCTATGGGTTGTTGCGCCACTGAGTTTAGTTTAATATACTAATATAATACCTGATGTAATAAATATTCTATGTCTGTATCGTCTAATTAAACCAATCATCAAATTTATATTATATATTGTCTAATTTAACCAATTGATACACGAACACAAGTACAAACCGGTACACAAGTACAAAAATTTATACACAAGTACAAACCGGTTTCAGTCGTGTAAAAGCAATAAAGCTGCATGGTATCACCTGATAATTAGATTTCACATAGAATCTTATAGTGCGTCTGATAATTTGGCCCGGGGCTGTAGTTTCTTGTATGTTAGTTAAAAAAAAATTTAGTTACTTTATTAACAGAAATTTAACCCTTGCTTATTAAATATTCTTACATGCAGCATATTTCTTTCAGACAAAAGGATCACTTGGAAAATATTAGACTGGATATTCCACTTTCGTCGTCTGATTCCAACCTCTACTCTAGTGTCAACTATCGTAAGCTGGTAGCTCTTAAGCAAGGCTACACCAACGAGGAGTTTCTGGAGATGGAAGACGCACACGACCGTTTCAAAGATTACGTCGAAGAAAGCTACATCGATAACTCCGAAGTATTTCGGGACACATACCCGCCCAATCGCGGACCGGAGAACATGGGTTTCTACATAAACTACGGCAAGTTGAAGCTGAAACCCACGAGCTCCGAACGCACCCACGATCACGATAAGAAGCATCGCGAAAAAAAGAAGCACAAGCAACAACACAAGGAACGGAAACGTTCCAAATCAGACAAGCATTCCAACAAAGAGTTCGCTAATGTGGAAGCGAACCCTGTCTCTTGTGCTGATGCTCAATCGGATCCTTTAGCAGGTTTGGCTGAATCCGTGCCTCCTCCTCCTTCTATGCCAAGTCACGAACGCATCACCAAAGAGGAAAGAAAAAAGCTAAAGTTATTACGCAAGGAAAAGAAGTCGCGAGATTTTGTTGAAGAGACGAAATCGCCAAAGAAGCGAAAGAAGAGAGTGGACGAGGACGTGACTCTGGATAAAATTTTAATGTCGAGAGCCAAGGAAGTGAAAAGCAGCGAAGGAAAACTGAATAAATCATCCAACTACGTTCTGGTGCCGGATCTTCGAAACGGACTGTATCCATATTATAATACTACATCTTGAGTAGAAAAAACATTGCACTAAATGTTTGTAAAAAAGATATATAAATAGTATATGCATATTCATTATTTAATGATATCATCTGTATTCTTTCTCTATTCGCGTATATTTCATTACTCTATTTATATCATTGAAAATAAAGCTCTAATTTGGTTTATTTGTGTCCTTTTGTGATTGGTTGGGGAATTATAAATATTTCTTTAAATAATAAAATGTATTAAAATTATTTTATACACTATTAAACCTTTAAAGCACCGGCGTCACTACCTTTTTATGTATATATTTGTTCATGTTCTAATTACGAGCAAAAATATATTTTGGTGTTTTTAATTATAAAAAGAGTCTAATTGTTACTAAAAAAACCGTTTAGATTATCGGAATTATATTTGTACTAAAATAGAAAATCCCCCCAAAAAAGTAGCTTGAAATTTTTTTCATTCATATTTAAAAATGTATCAATAATAAAAAAAATCAATGATGAACAACTGCTTTTTTTGGATGTAAATAAGTGTAAATTTGAAAAATTGTTGTTAGGAAGTGAGCCGTGTTAGGAAGATTTTACCTTTAACGCGGAAAAGAACACCTGTTTTTTTTATGCTGTATTTCATAATCATAAATTATTAAAATGCTAAATATAATATTTTTCACAGAGTTTGACCTAAATTAATTAAGAAATAATGAAAAAAGTATCTAATAAATACAGAGTTCTCTCAAGGAATAAAAAAGGGTCGGGTGGTTTCTCACAGAAGGGAAATTACAGTTTCGAAAGGACACTCACTTACCACCATTAAAATTTATCATAATGTGTAATATAATATAATAACTGTATTTTACTCTCTATTTTTAAATTACTCTCTTATATACTATTTAATGTGTATACTTCACAAAGTAATTCTTCCTCATTATCAAAAACAAAGACAAGCTGAAAGACAATCAGTATATAAATTTTCTTTTAAATGAGTAAATTAAATAAGCGAAAAAGTATACATTTTTGTAATATTTTAAATTTCATGTGTTTAAATTTAAGCTAATACTTGCTGCTAAACAATTGCACTGGTCATTTTTAGACTTTAAATACTTTCCGATCTTTTCAGTATCTTGAGGAAAAAATGTACTTTTTCTCTAAAGAAATCTCAACTCTGGTTAACGATCTGATCTAATAGTAATCCTTGAAAAATTTTATCCAAATTATTGAAAGAAAAAAAATTTACGTGAATATAACTAGAGAACTAGAACTATATAACTAGACAACATAAGAAAAATATAGCTAAAATAAAGGAATGAAATTAAAAATTAAAGTTAAATAATTATCAATAACTAAATAAATCGGAAGTGGACTTTTCATTAACTCTTCATGAAAAAAAAATCTTTTCCTGAAAAAATAAGATTAAAAGGTTATAAATCGGAAGTGGACTTTTTCATTAAAACAGCCTTCATAGAAAAAAATATTTTCCTGAAAAAATAAAATAAAAAGGTTATAAATCGGAAGTGGACTTTTTCATTAAAACAGCCTTCATGAAAAAAAAATCTTTTCCTGAAAAAATAAAATAAAAAAGTTATAAATCGGAAGTGGACTTTTTCATTAAAACAGCCTTCATAAAAAAATATTTTCCTGAAGAAATAAAATAAAAAGGTCATGTTTATTAAGGAATGGCGGCTTTTTTTCACAAAAAGGACAAGGAAGGCGCATTTATAGGGATTAAAGGGCATCAGGGTGAGATGTCCTTCTAAAAACGCTTAGAGAGGACCCTGATAATTATTCTGCATCAAATCTACTTTCTTATTCATAGGTTAAAGTAGTTTTGCTAATTGAATTGCAAATCAATAGTGTAGAATGCTGTATCTTGTTTATTAGAGCAACATTGATAATATGAAATTTCGCGGGTGTACCTCAAAATAAAAGAAAATGTACCTGATATTTGTTTTACTAAACTTTGTCATTGATAGCTTAAATTTTTTCCTATAATACTAAACTCTTATAATGAAGACAAATATCGTTCACCTCGCTTTGCCATGTAAATTTTTTACAAAACTGTTCAGAATACTTAATTTTGCTCTAATTTTCTATGTTCTCACGTTAAAATGAGCACATTATTTACAAAATAGCAACTAACTTAAGAACTCTATTTTACTATATGTTTGCTGTTGTATGTGTGAAATTGCGTTTAATACTTAAAAAAAAATATGCTTTTTAATTACTATATAATTAATTTAGTTTTATGTAAAACAAGTAATAATATAAAATTTCAGTCAGTATAAATGTTTTGAGTATCTTATATAAATTTAACCATCTTTTTATTTTTATCCGTGATTTATTAACTACGTTTTCATTAAAAAGTGATGGAATAATTTAAAATATGTTTTTCTGAAATTTCTCCTTCCACATTAAATATTTATCATTGATTTAATTTAATTAAATCCATCGGAAATCAGAAAACTTCACTAGTCTTTCAAACTTATTAATTCCCTTTTTTCAGTAAATTAATTTCAATTTAAAATTTTATAAATATCCAAAATTAAGTCAAGTAAAGGAAATGGTTATGGATTTTGTTTAACTGATTCCAAATGTCGCCTGAGAAAACAGTTCATAATACATGCTGGGTGTTTGATTCCAAATGTCGCCTGAGAAAACAGTTCATAATACATGCTGGGTGTTTATGAACAAATTTATTAACTTGTAAATCAACATTCAAATTAGGTGATTTTAAGTTAATATATTTTTAAATTTTCATTAAATTCATTTCAAGTTTTAAAGTTCTTGTAGTCACTTTATAATCAATGCATGCTTTTAATTCGAATTTTGGTTCATTCTTTTTTTTCTTTGAGTTCGAAGTAATAAGACTTCGCCATATATGCATATTTAAGGTTTGTTTTAAGATCATGGAAGACCCTGTAAAATATGCGAAATTACGCAAAAATTTTCACGAAAAACAGAAAAGAACGAATTATTGAAAGTGAAGAATAAAAATTTTCCATTGTATTATCAATAATATTCTTTACGTTCGATGCCAAACAGCTAAATTAACCGGTCTGGAGCAGTATCTAATCTAGTTCTGACTTTGTTTTTCGTGTAAGTATGAGCTGAAAATGAATAAATTAACTTTGAATAATAGTTTTTGAACAAGAACTGTTAAAAGCGATAAGAAAGGTTACGTTACCAGAGCAATATAATTCTTAATTCCTGAATTTTGTTTTTTCAAATTTCCGCACTTTTTTCTAAATTTAGGAGATATATTACCGTGTTCTTGTCACTATTTAGAGCGTTAAATAGCTGTTAGTGCTTGTATTTAAACATATGAATGTAATATATTCATATGTCTCATGCATTAATTCATATGTCTCATGCATTAATTCATATTCATATGTCTCATGCTTTAGTTCATATTAATATGATAATTTAAACATATAAATTTGATGATGATAATTTTAACACATGAATCTGATTTTAACAACTACTGATTTAAAAGAAACTACTAAATGGCCTTTCCTGTATAATATACTTTTAGTTGGATATTTTTATATCATACATTTTTCTCTTCCTTTTTAAAACTCAATACACTTACTTTATTTTTGCTCCCAAGATTGATGATTATTTTTAGTTTTCCATTCTCTAATCCCAGGACAAGAAATGTAGTAGCCTTTTCCGTGGTTGTTGCAAGCAGTAGCCCTCCAGGTCTGGGAGTTCTAAACCTTAACTGAACATCTTCAGCTTGTGTCTTGGATCCTTCCGGTATATCAATCTTCATATATTGGCTACCATCGAAGCTCAATGTGCTTGCATCTGAAAATATTGAAGTTGTTATAGAAAGTATAAAAATCTGTTTATACAAAATTAAAAACCGTAATAAAAGAAGGTTCTGAGAAAGAATTTTGTATAAATTCTTATTTCCTCGCGGGAAGGACTAAACCATTTTAGTTTCATGCAACTGTAAAACATTTTCTTCATGGCTTGAAATCATGCACATCCGTGCGGATAAAGATACTAAGTGACAACGTCTGAGTGTTTTCAGAGTGGATAATTCTTCCAAATGCATTTGGCGAGAAAGAGTAGACAACAAGCAACTTAGAAAGTCTCTCTCTTGGAGGTAAATTAAAACACGAAAAATTCGAACCTAATGACTAAAATTTTTTAAATGAGTGTGGACGCTTGAAGATTTCTCCACCTTCCTGTTGAGAAATAAAGGCAAGGAATAATATTTATTTCCTATTGCCATTTTTTAAACTCTAAAGCTAATTTATTCGAATTCATAAAATATAACGAATTCATAAGTATATTTTCATATCCAAGAACAATCCGAGAATGCCTTAGGTCTGCTTTGATTTCTTTAAAAAATGAAAGAAAACATGATGGGTTGTTCATTTTGCGCGATAGCTTACTCAAAATACTTCCAAAATAGCACTTATCAGCCTATTCGCAAAAGAATCATCCCGAAGTGTTAGATTTGGTTTCTGAAAACGTACAATAGAACTTTTTCACCCGCTTCAATTAAAGGATACTAGACCTATCCATACTAACCTTTAGCACAGACTGGTCCAGTGAAACCTGTTCTAGTACAGTCACATACATATCTGTTCCATCCTTCCGAACACAGACCTCCATTCAGGCAAGGTTGACTATCACACTGTGATGGTGACGTATGACAAGATGGTCTGAGGCTTCCAGAGTCTTGTTCCCTCGCTTGCGCTGCCAGATCTATCGTTTTCCCATTGATGACCAGTTGCCGCAAGCATCCCACATAACCATAGTTCAGTTTGGCAGTCCATATTTCACTGGGGACGTTTGGACCTTGGTCAGAGGGAGCAAGTGATCCGACAAAAAGAGGGCCTTCCAAGTCTAATTGATTTGCTATGCCTGGAGATTAAGAATATTCAGGATCATTAGAACGCAATTTATTACTAATTATTAGCGCTAGAACTGATTTGCATAAAAAATATGTTATTATGCTTTAGTCTGATGAGATAATAGAATATTGTGGAAAAATACTGTTAGCAACTAACTTAAACTAATGTCTAAATCTATACAAACCGTCCACATTTGGGCAACGGTAAAGGCAACTTTATCACCATATGTCTCTTAACAGACACTGGAAAGTTTTGGATGTTACGAAGAAAAGTTCCCCTTATCCACTAAATCTTATCAATCTTTCATTCATTCTGTGTTCAGCAAAATAACAGAAAAAAAATTCTATTAAATAAGCCATAATTGTGCTTCTATACAATTTTAATGTGAGAAAGTATTCAAATATTGCATAAACTTTGAGAAGCTACTAATGTAAAGTACATTATTAATGAAAGTATATTGTTATTATTTTATAACTGGTGTTGAACAGCCGACCAGATTTCTCAGTTTATGACTTTAAGTGTTCAACTACGTAACCTTGCAATTTTGAACCCAACTCAGAAGACAAGACAATTCTTGGATCAAGCATTGGAACAAACTATTCTTCGTGGGGGACTTTTTGATGGAACTAACCCACATTTACGTTAAACGGAGATGAGAGTCACGGAAACCACCCACGGTTATCCCAACGGCAAGGGGACTATAACCCATGATCAGTCAACCGCTGATGATATTTTGGGGTCGGTGCGAGCCGGGGCGGAATTCATATCATATATCAACCGCTGAGATTCGAACTTTTATTTGGTTTTAAATCTTTTATGATCATCTGACTTAATTTTTTTACCACAAAATCATGAAATTAAATTTTAAGGGAAAGAACTAAAAATTTTTTTTTCTTTGACGAAATAATTCTTTCTGAAAACTGTAATGCCTTTTTAAATAGTTTTATTCGTGTGACGTTGGCGAAAGAAAACTCGTTTGGAGAAAAATTAGCCCTATTAATCATCTGACTTTTATCTTTCATGGGGATTAAAATGAAAAGCTTCATCCTCATGTCATGTATGATGCAAATAATCTTCACTCTTTGGATGACATGAAAATAAACATAAAAAATTTAATTGCAGAATTCAGAACAGCTCAAGTAATAAGAATATCGTTTGATATGCATAACCTCCTTTCAACTCTTTCGACGCAGGTTAATTTAGCTCTCCGTGTATTTGCTATTTTGATAAAGTCTCTTTTTTGCTCAATTGACTTATTGGTGCTTTTTCGAACTTCCTACTACTTTCAAACGATTTAATTGAATTAAGTTGGAATAAATTATTTAAATGATGTAAACCGTTACTTTTTTGTAAATCTGATATATAATTTTTATGCAGTGTATATTTTCATTGGTATCCGTAATAATACGTGAATGATTAATTCAGAATATTTTTTACTTTAGTCACTACCGTTATGAAAATCTTAGTTTAACACTAGGTTTACGGACGTTTCTTATATACCTATCTCTACGAACAAGCGTCAATTCGACGCATGAACGAATACATACAACAGCACTTACAGAGATGCCAACTTGCTCAGGACAGCAAATATATATTTTAAAGTGGTAGTTTATCAATTGTGAAGTTATTTACTGTTTTTTTAAAATTACTTTGGTGTGTCCGGAGCTGTTGGCATCTCTGCACTTAGAAAGCAATGTAATTATATACTATAAGAAAAAAAATGAAAATGTGAGATATATATTTATGAAATATTCTAGTATTTTATTTTTCAATACTCGAACTAAGCAACTGAAACCTTCAAAATCTGACATCAATTGACATTCTGCATTTGTTCTTTCTATTATTGTTTATCGGCATTAGTTGCTTATCGCTTGTTTCATTTGAGATAACGATATCGGATAACGGATCGAAGTATTGTCGGTACATTTTGATTTATTATTGATGTGATGCTTGCATGTTTACTCAAAACTTGTCTAAATTAGAGCCCCTGAAATAGACAGGCCGACTTATCATTTATTGTTGGAGCAAAGAGCTAACATAAGCACAGCGAATAAACATTTTCAAGTGGTAGCTTATTAATTGTAATTCTTGGTTTAATAAGTTCGATTTAGTAGATTTTATTCCACCACTATTTCTAAACTAAACAATGCGTAGGCTTATATAATTCACCACTTTACTTATGACATGCTTTACATTTTTAAAAAGCAAGCAAATATTGTCAACTATTTGCAAAATTTACTTTATAGTTATTTACCGTATTTTTAAATTAGTTTGGCGAGTTCGCAGCAGTTGGCATCTCTGTAATAACATAACGAATACTAAAATAACGTTAACTTGCGAACTTTTTTGCTCCACTATTGCTTGATAGGTCAGCTGTGATAGTATAGGAACCTTAGTCTAAATGACGATTGCGTCAAATTGACGCATATCCGTAGAGATACGTATATCAGAAAGAGAATTTCAATATTTCAACGCTTTTGAAGAAAATAGACTTCAATATATATTTACCTCAATCAATGGATAAAAATCATTACAAGAGATAAAATAAAAATGCAAACGGATGTTGTAATTTTCCTTATAAAATTCGAAATGCGTCAAAATGACGCAACCCGTAAACCTAGTGTTAATGTTATGGACTCTTAATAAGGTTTAAGATTTACGTATTTTTTACTGCTATTTTATGGCATTATTTCCCATGATGTTGAATGGAATGAGGATCTTAATAGTAAGCATTTTAAAAGATATTATAAAATAAGTATGACATTAAAAGGTGGTAAAAGGAGAAAAGATCTTTGTGATATCTAGTGATCCTAGGATCTGTGTTTACCTAAAAACAAAAAAACCCTGAAAGGGTTATTTTAGTATATCTATACATCTATACATAATAATAAAAGCGGCTGTGTGTGTGTGTGTCTGTAATCACAATATATCGCCCCAGAAGCCTCGCCCGGGCACGAAACTTGGCACATAATTGTGTTTTGACATAATGAAGAAGTATTTTTTTTCTTTTTCAAAAATTTGGATTAGTTATTTAGTTATCAGTCATTTTGTAAGTCTATGCTTTTCGTCTGCTTTTTCGTCTTCAAAGAGCCATATTCAAAAAACTATTAAAAAATGCATATACTTTTCCCCACTCTTATAAATGTATGCTAATGCGAACCTTACAATTGAAATATTAATTTTCGACAACTTAAACCAATAATATACGAAGGAATTAATAATTTAATTGTAAAGTTCGCATTAGTTTACATTTATTAAAGTGGAGAAAAGTTTAACTTTTGTATTAAAAATGTGGCAACATATTCGATACGTAAATAGAACGCTTCGCTTTGATATATTTGTCGCTGTTCATAATTGTTATAATAAGTTTTTCTTCTTCTTTCCACGCTCTATTTTTTTTTTTTAAGCGAAGACGATAATTTTTGTAGCGATATTGTAGTACTTTGTACAACTAAAAATTCTTTTCACAACACTTTAAAAATATTTACTTTATTTTCTTTATATATACAGAGAACAGTCGGCAAAGAATTCGATTAGGTTGAAAAACATTTCGCTAAAAAGGAACGAATTCCAAAAGAAAAAATAAACAACTTAAAGAATAAAAATGCTGATGCCAGCCAATTTTTTGAAAGTTAACTTAGAAATAACAAACCAAACGATGTTAAATAACAAACCAAACGATGTTAACAAAATGACGTAGAAAGCGCAACTAGATCAAAATTATACAAGCACAACTAGATCAAATTATAATACCTGAGTGCTTGACGTAACAGATATAGAAATAGAATTTGATACCATAAAAAATTATATAGAAATAGAAATTGATACCATAAAAAATTTATTCGTTTTCGTGTTCTTTTCATGTATTTAGCATTTTAGTTTTTTTTTTTTTAAGCGTTGTAGCTATATAATTTCAAACATCCTCAAGAGCTATAACACATCTGCAGCAGAACTGGATATGAAGACAAAATTGCAGGACAGGAACACTTTAATTGTCCACTAATCTTCAGATTTCCTGCTATGTTTTAAAAAACTTTATTTGTGAAAACCTTCAGCGTGGCGGACAGCTGGCCGCCTTAGGCGGCTAGTTATTAATAAAATATTAATGACGTAAGTATACAGCATACCTGCCAACTCTTCCGGATTTTCCGGAAGATTTTATTTTCATATTTAAAGTGGTAGCAATACTCATGTTATTCCAATTAACTTTTTGAATTGTAATGATAATTATAAATGAGTTTGACCACCACTACATATAAATAATTACAATAAATATATAAAAGCATAATAATCATTGCTCAAACGAATTTCAACAGGATCAAAATATAAATATATTTTTGAGTCATATTGTTTTTCGTTTATTGTTTTACAACCACTCTAAAAACTCATTCTCGGAAAGAGTGAAAGTTGGCAGGTATGATACAATAGGAAAATGGACGTCTGTTGGTTTTTAATTCTTGGTAATAGGAAACTCTCTTTCTATGTAAGTATTTTATATTACATAACTTAATAGCTACCTACGAGCCCTTTCTAGGACCACACCACTTCGAGGATCTATATTGATCCTGTTGCCTTTTGTAGTATTGTCTGAGTTCATTCCATTTATATTGTTACGTGCAATTCGGATAGGTAGAAATAGTTCATGGGCTCATAGCTTGCGGTTACCTAAAGCAATATTTTTGATAAAAGGAAAAAAGAAGTAATCGGTTCAATTTTGCGAAACAAAAATCGTTCAACTTCCTAAAGTTACGCAAATTTTGTGGTCAATGTATAAAATCCAACGTTCTGTGGAATACTTAAAAAACCATCGGTAAAATATGAAAAAATAATATTTTACGCACTTTCTTGGTTCGATTTCTATCTTGGATTCATAGATTGACTGTAATATAAAGTGAAAATTGGCAGCAACAATGTGAAAATTTGCATTTTATAGGCATTTCATAGAATGGCGACAAAGTGTTAATCTAAATTTTTATAGGCATTTCTTTAGAATTTCAAGGCATTCACTGGAGTGACTAACAACAAACTATCAAAGCATAATATAAATATTAATTACTTAAATTAATGTCAGGCATTCTATTAAATGACTAATGAATAACCTGTAGGTTCTAGTTGCTTCTATAGAATGACTAATGAATAACCTGTAGGTTCTCTTTATCTATTTCGTATACTATATAAAGTTTATATTTCTAAAGGCAAGATTAAAATATAACTATAACAATGAATACAAAGAACCCTATAGAGAACAAATGTAGAGAGAAAAAAAAAAACAGAAAACAAGAGAAGCAACTGCAGAGATAGTCTATGAATCCAAAAGGATTCTGGCGTAGCGGTCCAAAAGAGAACGTTCGTTTGAAGCTCGGAAATGGTGGAGATGGGCACCATCCATGACCCTTCCAAGATTATAGAGACTGCAGACAGGACTTAAAACTATGCGAAACGACATTCTATCTATATGATAATTCTCACATACAATACTTTTCCAAAAGAACACTTCTTATTCTACAGCATGACCAGATATTCTATACAATGATTGAGCATTTTACAAAATACCAGATTTTATAGATTGACAGTAACATAAAGTGAAAATCGGCTGCAAAAAAGTTGAGATTTGTGTTTAATGTATGTAATCTAATAAAATCCAGAGGGAATCCTGCATTTTATTTGAATAATTTTGAAATTGGCATTATCACAAGCAAATCAGCGCATGTCATTTCATATTCATACATTCAATGTCCGTTGCATTAGGGGGATCGGGAAGGAATGTCGTTTTGGCTCATTTGATATTTGTTATCAAGATTTTATTTTTAATCAATTTTCTATTCACCCTCGTTAGCAACAATGAATGAAACAATGAATAAAAAAAGATCCCTGGAGTGCCTTATTGGCTCTTGGCATTTCCGGCAAAATTAAATTCCTAGTGCACTTTAGCATCCAAATAGAGTCTCGGTGCTGCCATCTAGTGTGGCAGAAACTAGACGTCCAAATTAACATGACCAACGGTATCTCACCCATTGTGGTGCTCCTGAAAGAGTGGATACCACCTCTGGAGAACGCACTAGGTCTGCTAAGCGGCAAGACCAATTGTGCAGCAAATTGGAAATAAAAGAAATAAATAAAAAATAAAAAAGGAATTGGTTTTTAAGACTAACGAATATTTAATGCGCCGAAAGACATTACTTCCCGGCCCCCCTAATATATATATGGGATGTATTGGCTGGAATTTCTGTGCACTGGCTGAGATTTCCAGATCTCACAGATTTCCTGTTACACAAAGCGTTTAACAAAAATAGAAAACGATGTAANTATTATTACTCGTTTTAATCCTATGTACTGCCTGCACATGATGCATTGTATGTCATACTGTACTTTCCTGCGATGTGTTGTAAAATTTTTCATTTGTGTCTTTGGCTCACTATAAGGGAAGCCCCGTCGGCTTCGGCACTATAAGGCGGGACTCTCGGAGCATTTTAATTATTTTACTGCTGTTGCCATCAGACTCTGTAATGTTTGCATAATGTTACTCTGTAATGTTACTTTTTTGTATTTTATGTACTTTTTTGTTTTCTTGATTTTAATAAACATTTACTCGTATGCCCTAAATTGGGGCAGGTCGGGGTAAATATTTCATATTATTATTGTACAATATTATTTAATGTATTCTAGCATTTTGTAGAACATGTTTCCTTTTATTTGGTATTAAATCTTTTATGATCATCTGACTTAATTTTTTTAACCTCAAAATCATGAAATTCAAAGAGCCATAAACCATAATTTTAAAAGAACAAACTAAAAATTTTTTTAATAAATACATTTTTTTATTTGACGAAATTACTCTTTTTGAAAACTGTAATGCCTTTTTAACTAGTTTTATTCGTGCGAGGTGGCGAAAGAAAACTCGTTTGGAGAAAAATTAGCTCTATTAATCACCTGACTTTTATCTTTCATGGGGATTAAAATGAAAAGCTTAATCCTCATGTCATGGATGATTCAAATAATCTTCACACTTTGGATGACATGAAAATAAACATAAAAAATATAATTTCAGAATTTAGAACAGCTCAAGTAAAGAATATCGTTTGGTATGCATAATCTCCTTCCAACTCTTTCGACTCAGTTTAGTATAGTTCTCCGTGTATTTGCTTTTTTGCTCAATTGACTTATTGGTGCTCTTTCAATTGACTTATTGGTGCTCCACACCACTTCGAGGTTCTATATCGATCCTGTTGGTATTGCCTGAGTTCATGCCATTAATATTTTACGTGCAATACGGATAGGTAGAAATAGTTCATGGGCTCATAGCTTGCGGCTACTTAAAATAATATTTTTGATAAAAGGAAAAACGACGTAATCGTTTGAATTTTGTAAAACAAAAATCGTTCGACTTCCTGAAGTTACACATATTTTGTGGTCAATGTATAAAATCCAACGTTCTGTGGAATGCTTAAAAAACCATCGGTAAAGTATGAAACAATAAATATATCTCACACTTTCTTAGTTCGAGTTCTTTCTTGGAGTCATAAATTAAAGGTAATATAAAGTGAAAACTGGCGGGAACAATGTGAAAATTTGCATTTTTTAAGCATTCCATAGAATGACGACAAAGTGCTAATTTAAGATTTTATAGGCATTTCCATCTAGTGTGGCAGAAACTAGCTGCCATCTAGTGTGGCAGAAACTAGACGTCCAAATTAACATGACCAACGGTATCTCATCCATTGTGGTGCTCCTGAAAGAGTGGATACCACCTCTGGAGAACGCACTAGGTCTGCTAAGCGGCAAGACCAATTGTGCAGCAAATTGGAAATAAAAGAAATAAATAAAAAATAAAAAAGGAATTGGTTTTTAAGACTAACGAATATTTAATGCGCCGAAAGACATTACTTCCCGGCCCCCCTAATATATATATGGGATGTATTGGCTGGAATTTCTGTGCACTGGCTGAGATTTCCAGATCTCACAGATTTCCTGTTACACAAAGCGTTTAACAAAAATAGAAAACGATGTAAAGGTAGTTTAATTTAAATTAAGCGCGACTACATAACCAAGTTTTCTTTACCTGGAGTTGTAAAATCGTAAGCGGCTTCATCAACAGCTATCCTTCCAGTTTTGCCAGTGCGTCTTAACGTTACAGTGTGCCATTGGCCATCATCGCACCGTTTAGAGGAAGCTTTTACTTTGGCAATACCAGATCCTAATCCAAGAATTAAATAAACATGTCCATCTAATAGCTCCAAAGCAAACACATCGCCTTGACCACCATTGTACATTAGTAATCCAGTTGCTTCGTTGGTTCGAAATCGAAAGGCAATAGACCCAGTCTTGCTTCCTTCCCATGTGGGTAGTGCCTGAAATAAAAATTATATGATCTTACGCATGGTAATTACGGCCAACGTATGCATATGTAGTAGGCTAATTGAAAAAATTCCGGTCTTTTTAGGCAAAAAAAGTCTTTAGTATCTTTTAATCTGGTTTAAACTTATGACAATCAGCTTTAAAGCCTTTTCATTAATTGAGATGTATGCGAATTCAAATAGACTGAATTTTTCTCTATGCTTATTGTCACAAACCTTTGAGCGCCACATCAACCATCGGTGGCTGACACTGGACTTTCCATTTAAGCCGGGTCAACCACCGGTGGCTGACACTGAAATTACATTTAGGTTGCTTCTGCCACCGCTTGCTGACGCTGACCTTTCACATAAGCTGCGAAAAACAGCTGGTTGACAGAGTATAACATGATATAGAACTATAAAATTTACACTCTTTTATGGAATTGCAGGAAATGTATTAAAAATTTACTTAATTATTATGATTCTTAGTTTAATAAATTCAATTTAGTAGATTTTTATCCACCACTATTTTTAAACAATTCGTAGGCATATATGATTCACCACTTTCTGGAACTCATCATAGACAATATTAATCATAGCCCTTCAACCAATTTCTTACTCTCAGATGGTATATCATACCTGCCAACTCTTCCGGAAAATTTTATTTTCATATTTAAAGTGGTAGTAATTATATACTATTTTTTCTTTTATAATCTTAATTTTTAAATTATATTGATCTCCACTATTCTTACAAAAATTAAGCACATATATTAATATGCATTACTATCATGGTAGTCAACTTAAGTTTTCTCAAATACAACGTATTTGTTTGCTTAAAATTGGAGCTTTAATTCCATTTTAATATCATTGGGAAAAATGATAATGGAAGGGATTAAAAGTTGGCAGGTATGGTATATTATCAAAATTTTTTAAGCATTAATTTTTCACTTATTTTTTTAGTGCCCAACAACTTATTATTACTTTTTTATTCTTCATGATAAAACTGCTGCTCTGTGCACCAATGAAGCCCTCTTGGGGGGGGGGAGGTGAGGCATTGAGGCAGTGTAGCAGTGATATCAAACCTTAATTATTTCATTAATACTTTGTTTATTAGTTACTATTATTTTATATTTCAATTATTATAAATCCACACCCTTTTGAATACTTGATTCCCATTGGCCGATGCAATTTCGCTCAACCAATTTATTTTTTACCGTTCAATCTCCCATCCGCTCTTACCAAATACCCTATCTCGTTTCTGATTGGCCGTCACTCATTCGACTCAACGAATCAAACGATGTACATAGTTTTATATATATCCTTCTGATATAAGCACCCTTAATTGTATATATTCCTAGGACTTATAATTGTAAATAATATATATTCGGATTTCCATCTTAATCGGACTATTTCTTTTCACCGTATTTCATTTTTTTTTGTTTTTCTTTCCTTGTACATATCTGATCATTTTATACATCATCATTTTACGATTTTTACGCTCGTTGCCTAGGCCTATGATGAAATGGCAAGTGCCGAAAGGCAGGCACCATGATTTAAACCATTACATTAAAGCATCAGATATGTCATTCTAAACCTTTTACAAACTAGCAAAATCTGTCTATAGTTACAAATTTAGTTTGTAGTTATTAACCGTGTGGCCAGACGAGCAAGCCATGTAAAATTAGCGTGGCATTCAACGAGTTAAGCCTCCTATTCGGTTATGGAGAGGCAATGAGCTTTCTCTCCGGTGGAAAGCAGAGAAAATAAGTCTTTTTCTTGGAACACCTACATAAAATTAACATTTCCTTCTTTGAACGTATTGCAAATTGCCTGAAACAAATCAAGCTATTGAATGATATATTTAAATAGCCTAAAGGTATGTAGGTTTATTGAAATAAGCCTAAATGGGACAGGCTCATTAGAAGAAGTCTGGAGGCGTTTTTAACTATAGTCAGGAAAGATAACAATCTGTTTAAAAAGTGCCGACTTTTTTAAAAATTAGCCTATGACATTTATATTTTAGCGACTGAGTATCATGATCGATGTAAATGTTGTTGAAACATATTCAGTGATCGTCTCTGAACATGTTTAATTCATAAGGATCAAGTGAATTAGAGAAAAATCGACTTTAGAATAATAAGGAAACATTAGGAGACAGTATGTAAAGCGACTAACTATAACATGATCTGCTCATCCTCTTCAAAGGGGAAATAATTGAAATTCGGTTTATAATAAATTATTTACAAGACTATGTACAGTTATTTATGAAATACATGAGATAAAACCCCGTCTGATAGAGAAGAAAATGAATGGAAATGACTTTATCCTTAAACATGAAGATATCTTAAAAATTCAGTTATACATGGTCTTTTTTATAGATGGCGTTTTCATCTGCAATGTCCTCTGATAGTATTAGAAAATGGCATTCTATGCTCTCAGTATGCGTTGCATTTGTAATTTTACTGAGCCTCTTATTTTGTGCTTTTATTATCATAATGGATTCAGAGACAGAACTCCATGCTCGTGATGTGTGTATTATAATAGAACTAATGCACTGAATATACAGTAGCGTCTTCAAATGGAGTAAAAGTTTTAAGTTTGGACAAAGTAAAGGTCTAAGAGCATTAGTAACCTATTCTTTACCTTTATTTACATTTTTATTCAGGATAGATTGGAATTTCGAGTCAAGCCCAAAGACACAGATTTGTGTACTATGTAGTACTGTTTTGTTGTACAGAGTCAGGTTCTTTTAGATATTTGAATTTTATCTGGAGATTTTGATTAATAGGTTGTTTGATTGTTTGGCATTTTTGGCAAATCTCTGGGTTCAATATGTATTTGTTCAGGAACTGTAACTATTATAACTATTGTAATTCCAAAGAGAGTTTAATGAAACAAATATCTTATCAATTTTACAATGCGAAGATTAAATATTATTATCATTTTCAATAACTTTTTAATAACTAAACTGAACTTGAATATTTTAAAAGTATGTAATGTTTCATAATTTTATTCCTAAACTGTTGCAAAATAACATAAAAATTTCTCCGTTGAGTACTTTTTCACATAGATCAGATGTTCCCAACCAGGAGGAGTTTCTACGCAGGAGAAGTTTTCTAATTTGGTACTTGCAATTCGAGAAGAAGAATACTTCTGAATTCACATAATTAGGCCTAATCACGTGGTTGTGCATGGTTTATTACAGCTATTAGGCTTAGTTTTGAATCACTTTTCAGATCAGATTTAATTAGCTACATGCAAGCGACGTCACATATGTGTGTTAGACTTGATTATCTGCTGAATCATGGTTTAACCCCTTGGGGAAGGGTGATTCAGAAAAGCATTCGTACAAAATCAGGATCAGGAAGTAATTAAATAAAAAACTGTAACTTAAATGTAGTCGTTTCTAATNATTGTTAAATAATCGGTGAATTAAATAAATCAAACAATTATAACTCCGCCCACAAATAAACTGCTAAAGAATTACTTTGAATACCAGCTTTATTTTTTTACCCTGGTTTATACGGTTTTATGCTGGCACGTACATGTGACAGTCGACGCCAAAGGGTTACAGAAATGCCAACTTCCATAGCTTTGTAAAATAGTATTTTCTAGTGGTAGCGAAATTTATTAAGTTACTTTCAGTTTAGTATTTTTCATTTTAAGTAATTTTTTCACCACCAAATATCAAAAATTATAAGTATGATATAAAATACAACGTTTAAGCATTCATCTACTGGTTACTATATTAAAAAGTAGGTGTAACTATCCTTCTTTAACGTATTAACTATATAATCTGCGACCACTTTATTAAAACTATTCAAGAAAGCGGAGCAGTTGGCATCGCTGGGGTTAAATCAAATGTGCAGGAACAGGGTGACTACAGGTTATGAAAATTTTTGTGACTTAAATTCCAAATTTTAGTTTTCAAAAAGAAGTGGTAATTACCAGATCGACTAATAGAGATTTCTAGTTGAGACGGTAGTCACTCAGAGGACGGCTATAACCAATTGGGCGGCTATAGTCGTCACTTTCAGCTACGTGTCAAACAAAAATTGTTAAGAACCACCGACATAGAGTAACAAAGCGGTCTTTTGTCTAGACGGCCACTAAATCTACCGGAAAATCCACCATTGCCAACAACTGTTACAATACTTATTCAAAAAATTGTTTTAGATAACCATAACTTGGATAACTATATTCCGCATAGCCAATTTTAATAGAATACTATATTATTTTAATGTTTCTTTTATAAAGCAAAATATTCGTAGAAAAATAACTCCGATATAAGTACCGACGTTTTTCAATAATAAAAACATCCCTTTTAGCTTAAACTTGCCAAACAAACGTGCTAAAAATGCACTCCCTGAACTTCATGGCTCCTTTACAAGTTCTAGTTTTAATGTTTACTCTATCAAAAGATCTCCAGAATTGAAGAAATATATTTCTGTTCTCTACACGGGCTGTTGGATATACGGGGTATAAAGTTAGGCTACAAAACACCAAAAGAAAGCACTGTGAGAAAAATGTCTTTTCTTGCTACTCAGCTCACGTAGAATAGCTCTCGATATTTCTTTGCTTACCGTTGCCATATTTCAATGTTGTCGTAATTTTGCTTCTGGATTTCGTCCAAGAAAGGTTTTTCTATTTTATCGTCTGCTCATTTAATGAACGGAAAAAAAGAAAAGAAATATTACAGTAGTACGTGAGTTCAACTGGAACCGTAGTGTTGGCTTTTATTTTTATTTCCTTTTAAGCATAGTTTGAAAAATAGTAAGAATGGGAGTTTAGAATGGTTCATAATTTTAAGCGATCGATTCACATAAGGATTATTAGTATATGCCCTCACCGCTTTATGCTGGTCTTAATTTTTAGCTTTCGAAATAATTTCATGGTTATTTTTTTAATTTTAGAATCGTTCGAAAATAGGCGAGAATCTGCAGCTTTCATTATATTTCATACAGGACAAGCTACAATTGCATGATTATAAATTCAGAGAATGATTTTGCTGTAGAATATGATGAGACAAGCAAATTTTGCAATAGAAAATGGTGAAGCACTGTTCCCATTCGAACACAATAACACAAATACTTTCCGTACATTAAGAAATAATTTTTTGCATCAGAATAGTAAGATGAAACAAGCATTTTTTCAAAAGTACATGATGAAACAAACAATTTTTAGCAATAGAACATAATGAAATAAATATGATTTTTTGTTTACGAGGAAATAATAATTATGTTCTAATAGAATGTTTGCAATAGAACATGTGTTCGTAAAAGACGATTACTATTTGGAGGAAGTGGGGATTTACTAAAATCATCGAGAACAATCAAAAGAACGTTGTTTAGATTTTTAAAAAAAAATTGCATTATGTTTATCCAACTAATTAAAAATTAAAAAAATGCAAATTTAATCAAATGGAGCATTTCCAGAGATACAACAATTTAAAAATGCGCCTTTTTAATTATACTTACCATTCTTTTTTTAATTGCTCTTTAAACTCTTTTGCGCGGATCAACTTCTTTCACTTAGCTCTTAAATTACCATTATTTTTATATTTCAACTTAATAGCAATTTTTAAAGATGAGAGTTTTAACACCCGAATTATAGGTATGAAAGCAAAATAAAAAGTTGGACTCACCAAAAAGGATTCCCTAGTGGTAAATGTAATAGGATCTGCTGCTTCCATTTCTTGGCAGAAAAATTGCACGTCACCATGATATCTCAACAACTTACTCTGAGACTTGGCTAAGGAAAGTAAATCCAAATTTACACTATCTGCTACGAACTCCACCTGAAACAATATAAAACACATAGTTTAGTTATACATAGATATTTTAAGATCAGTATATAATTTTTCTATAAATACGAAAAATGATTGAATCAAAACAAGAAAAATTTCACAGTATAATAGGCTCTAAAATAGGAATAAAAAATTATGAGAAAGGGTCATTTCCGCCACACGGAGCTCACTCCCGATTTCTTCATCTATTGAAAAGTAAATAATTGTTTTACGGTGGACTTTCCGAACGAACAAGTTCATAGTTCTCACGTAACGTCATTATTCTTCATTCAATAAATAATTCTTTTTTCACTTTTTTAAATAATTCTTTCAGAAGAACAAATTACAATAAAAAAGTTTATATCTTGAAGAATAATAAAATACAATTCATGGTTTCTAAAAATATATGGAATAATCTTATTTAATCTGGTTTGATCGTTCTGTTTAAAATACACAAATTAAATTCGCCATTACTTAATATATAATTGATATGAATTTTTATTTTTATGGAAAAGTTACAATAAAAAGTACTGTTGGTGCAGCGTTAAAAATATTTTGTATTAAGTAGAAAAGTTTGTTACAAAACATTTTTATTCAACACAAAATCGTCTGTTTATAACAAAAGGAGAAAGAAGAAATATCTCCACTCTTCTCTTAGAATTAAAACCGTTTGAACTTTTTTTTGTCTATTTTCGAACGCTATCATCAGAACATCTTAGAGCGAGCTACAAAAACTCTCAAATCAGATAACTGACCCAACGTTAAAATTTCGAACATAATTAATAAGTTCTGCAAGAATGTGATAGAATAGGAAATTTGACGTGGAAATTGCGATGGGGTTATGTTTCTTACTTTTGAATAAAATGGTTTAAACAGGGAAATTTTGCTTTTTCTCCCCAAGGATTGTAATATTAGACTGCTGAACTTGTTACTCTTTAATTGAGGATTTCATTTAAAAATATAGAAGTGAATCAACGTAAAGAGTGGAAATAAAACTACAAAATGTTATTCTATTTTGAGGTATGTAACACATTAACTTTCGAAACAGATTTAAAATGGTTCAGAATGTATATCTAGAACCAGATTTAAGTACAGATGCCTGAGATTTCTAAGAATAAAATGTTAACTAGAATTTGATTTGTATTATTTCTTCATAAAAAGTAACTACTTTTGACACTTTTTAGGCGTAGTTCGCTCTGCTTTTCGTATTGTGATAGATTTGATCACAGTGATAGAATCGTTTTGTTTTGAATGACTTACCAGTAAAATGCAACAAAAAAATACTAAAAATACGCTTAAATTTCATCTTATAACTCGTATTTAATATTTGCTTGTCATGACATATATTAAAGCATAAGTCACATCTAAACTGAAAATGTATACCAGATCTAACACCTTCTTCAGACTTTACTAAATATTCGTTCCTAAATATTAAGAAATGGAAGTGAAATGTATCATTTAACATAGGATTGGGGAAAAAGATTTAAATTTTTTCCCCTATCATTTAAATAACTCATGTATACATACTTAAATTGTACCACAAGTTCTGATGCAATAATTAAGGAATTAAAACAAGTAAAAAATTTTTTGTAATACCATTTAAAATTTAATCACATTAATGTTTTATTTTACTTCAAATTTAACATACTAATAAAAATTAATATTTATTTAACTGAAATGAAATTTCATTTGACTAAAAAAAAAAAAACGGCAAAATGTTTCTTTTCAGAAATTTTTTATAGTATCAAATATGATAGTCTAAGACTAAACGGTATAATATTGTTTAATATCTTCGAAATGACTTGCGTAATTTATTAATCAACTTCAAAAAGTGGGCTATGTTTGAAAAAAGAGGCAGTATAAATTTGTTAATACCAAAAAGATATTAAGTGTTGCTTACCACTTTAACTTTAAAATTGAACTGCACTTAGACTTCAGATCAAAAAGTATAAATATTCTTATTATAACTATAAAGTGGTCAGCAGAACTGGCTAATTTCTACGAAATAAATCTTAATAATAAAACATTTATGCTAAAACTTTTATCGTTTTTGATAAAAAAGGAACTGCCTTTTATATTTTTAATTTGACTTACACATTTTAATTTATAGAAATCAAAATAATTAATATTTTTTAACTTAAAACTGTGTCATAATAATAACTTGTACAATAGTTAATAACTAGGAGGCTTCGCCCCCTGCTCGCTGGCGCTCGCCAACCCCCGGAACTGCTTTCGCAGTTCATTTCGGATTGCTTCACAATCCGATGCTCGCTCATTGGATACGTTCTTAACGTCTAGCTTTTGTATACTTTTTTGAACACTGAAGTTCCATACACTTTTCACTGTAGAAAACTCTTAAACCTGTGCATTTCAATATTAATTTGAAATTGAAAACAGTTCGCAATTTTTCTTAATCACACTATTCTAAATTTCAGTTGTTGAGAAAAGTAACTGTTGTAAGTTTTGTTTTAAAGTCTTTCCCACCAGAGGGCTAAAACCATGTGTTGTAAAACAATATGAAATAGTACTNGAAAGGCCCATTTAAACTTTACTTTCTATAGTTTTAAGAATCATATTACTTCAGATGATTAATGATAGCATGATGAAATAGTTTTACAAGGGCTTATTGCTTTACAGAATATATTGCAATATTGTGGGGAGGATAAGACTAATTTGTAAGCAAGTTAATCCGGACCACAGAATATTATTGTAGTAAAGAAAGTAATTGTTGTATCGGATATATCGTTACAGTAAGTCTTCATTGTTACATATTGTGGAGGAAAAAAAACTATAATTTGATAATTTTTAAGACACTCTTAACGCTAATAGTAATTAACACTAGAAGAACTGAAATACCTATATTGCCCAAAAGCAGTCAAAATGACTGCATTGTGAAAGAATAACTAATGTATAAAGAAATTTGTTTAAAATTAATTTTAAATATTTTTGATATTATTTTCAGTTATATAACAAGTTATTAGTATATATCAACAATAAAAATAATTATAAAAGTCACAAAATTCTGAGAAATTGCGCCATTATAAACATCATTGTTTTTCTAATTGAAATTAAAAAGCAGTCAAAATGACTTCCTTGGGCAATCTAGTGTTAAAGGAGATTAATTGTTTTGGGGAGAACATACATCAGCATCGTTGGGCTTTGGGATATCCGGAAAGTCAGGATGATTTTTCTTAATTTCACTGAATGACCTTCTCATAAACAATGGATCATCTCTCTCAGGGATAAATCTTTTGCACTGGCCAATCGATTTCACCATTAACTGTTTTCACTCTTACCACTCTTTCCCTAGAAATGTGGATACGATTCGACCCAAAGGTCAATCTATTGTCTTCTTATTTGTCATTCATACAAAAACTATATCACCAGGCTTTAATTTCCTTATTAGATGGTTGTACTTCGTTGGTTTTTGCACCAAAAGAATGAATGACTCGGCTCTGAATCTTCTTCGAAATGTATCCCTCAAATTTTGCTTCGCCATCTTTTGTTGATGTTAACTTTATCGATGCGGTCTAGATCTGGCACACCAACAGTACGTATGTCTTGAATAAACATGGATGAAGAAAGTGGGAATATATCTTGTGAATCTTTTGAGATGTAAGTAAGAAACCTGCCGTTAACAACAGCTTCTACGTCACACAAAGAAGAAGAAATATAACACTTTTTATTTTCACGAAAATTTGTTCCATGATATCGCCATAGCAACCGTCGATAAAAATTCTAGCTTACAACTTACACATCAGAATCACGTTTGTGTTTAAATATTATTTTTAAATAAAAGAAAAACTATAAACTAATAATCACAACAAAACTATTTAATTTTCATATGCGATATTTGAAATTTAATTTGTGTGACATACATTAATATTTTTCTTTCAATTCTAATGCGCTTAAAAAGTTTTGTTTATTATTAAATTGTGAAATAATACGCAAATAAGTTTTGGTTAGCTTTGTAGTTTTGACAAAGGCAGCTGATTAATTAATTACTGGAACACCAAAAAAAAAAATTGTTCCAAAATTTTGTAAAATGGACTGGAAACACTTTGACCACTTTTCCAATGGCCTACAAATAGCTTAATAATTACCCTTAGATTCATTTTGATAAAGAAACTTCAAGCTAAATTTATAATTACTCTTTAGAAACTAACTTTAAAATAGATATTTAACGTTCAGTCATTAATTAACCACAAGAGCAGCACATTATTGGTCTATTCAGCGCAGATATGTCAAATCTGCCTTTCATTTATTTACCCCTTCTCTTTCTAATCAATAATCCTCCTGATTACTCCAACAGTAAACAAGACTGCCGCCTCCCCCTATTATCAGATCCATCATATCGATCGTCTTTAATCAGTCCCAGATGATGATTTGGACGGGCCATCTAATGAAGATTGTACGTTAATTTGCAAAAAGCCACCTGAAAGTATCATACATTAAAGCAAAGCAGCGGGCTTCTTTAGTCTATGGTTGTTGTTGCAATTTTGTTGCCAGTTAAGGGTTGCATAATTTATTTAAATGACTCCTTCCATGATTAAATTGGCTTAAATGCGTACGTAACGGGATGTGAGGTAAACTATTTCTTAATTATGAAAACGACTGCTTGATGTCTTAATTATAAAGAGAGATTTTTCCGTTCGGTTTAATTACGGGATCAGCATAATATGTTGCAGTGTGTTCTAATTTGTTTTTTTAAATTCTCCCTAAACACAAACAACTGAATTAAATTAAACAAGTTGATAAGTATTCCAGAAGCCGGTTTTATTACAAAAATTGTTTATTTTTAGAATACCGATATTTATTTCATTAAATGGAGATTTTTTTTAAATTTTTTTATTTTATTTTTATTTTTTTACTTTTATGAGTTTCCCTTTTCATAACTAAGGACATTTTTTATCACTTTTTTCTGAGCACATAAGGCACCAAAATTTTATGAATAAGTTTTATTTTTTGCTCATTAGCCGCAAACGCATAGTTTCATATTTGTACTGTCATTGGGAAAGATTTGGCACAGTGGTAGTAAAATCTATGCAAATAAAGCAGAATGTTTATAAGTATGTGTGTATACATGTACCATATACAAATTCGTAATTTTGAATTTACCGTCAGCAAATTTGGCGCAAATATGCTCGCAGATACGGTGGACCTAAACTCCTTTCGACGACTGGCTTACATGCTACATCCGATTAAATTTTTTTTTCTCCATATTATTTTATGACTATTTTATACTATGATGAATTTGCTAGCTTTATTTAACTTAAAAATTGATTTTTATATGACGCGTATTTACTAATTATTTATCTTTGGTTTCGTTATGTAGGTAAGCACAAGCAAGATCAACATTGATAATTCTGCGTGACAACGGCATTAAAAGTATTTTATAAGATCTATGAAATCATGGGCTTATTTTGATATTTAAACGTGTTTCTGACAACGTAAGTAATTTAATGTCAGCAGGAATTAAAAGTAAAGAAATAAAATTGAAATAATTTCCAAAAATAATTCGTAGGAAAAATTATGATTGAGGTTAATTTTTACAATCAGGGTTAAAAAAATTATGTATATATGAATGCAAATTTGTATAGTTAGTTTTAGTAAGTTAGTCAAATTTTTAATCCTTTTTTCTGTTTTGGTAAATTTAATGTCATGAATGGGATACCTGAAAGTGACGTAGTGTGAGTATCAAGATCCTGAGTGGTTGTTGATGCGTGGCATTTGTTTACGTTAACAATTGTTATTTCGATTCAATTCCGAGTAAGCCAAGCCCGCTGAGTATCAATTTTATTAAATGACACATTCTATATTCTTTAAAAAAGACCTTTTCATAAAGATTCAAATTTTTTCACTGTATATTTCTTACTTAACACTAAGACAGGTACGAAGCCTTGTAAAACATACACAAACTATTATGCATCGAAGTTTCCAGGTACACAAAACAAAAATGTATTACGGTTACTAGGAAATATACAAACAAATATACCTAAGTTAAGTAAAAGATGTTGACAAATTCGATGTGCGATATGGTGCTGTATTTAATTATTTTCACGTTAATTAACTTAGCTCGACTTTAACACGCCATCTTGCTTATAAGCTGGCTCTGAGGTCATAGGTTACGTATCTATGCATCAGTGACCGTCTTCTTCTCGAGTTGCAAGTATCCAATTGGAAAGGTAATAGAAAAGGACAACAAGTAACAAAAATTAAAAGTTTTCAAGTAAGTACTAATTCAACAAGATAGTTTGTAGCAAGACTAAAAAGTTGTAAATCGTTTAATAAAAGTTATGGATATTTTTAGATATTACTCTTTGAATTTTAGTCACCCGTGACAATCATATCAATCGAATAATCAATCGAATAATTAATGAATCGAATTAAAATTTCATATTCCAGACCTTTGGATCTATACTTAAAAAAATACTCTGGTTGCTACGAACAAAATAATATAACTTTTTTTAAAATTATAATTACTTCCACTTTTTAATTTTTTCGAGATACGTATGAAACGTGTAATAGAGAAATACTTTGAACTACCAAATATTTTTCGAAAAGCTTTTCTTACAACGGGTCGTTACTGGGTTAATTAATGAAGAATAATATGTTTAAGAGATCAAAATAGAAGGAAAGAAAATAGACCGAAATCCCAAAGAATACTTGAATAACTTTGAAAGCAATAAAGAGCAATTAATTTCACTTACGTCTCATGGAATAATACTAAATAAACTGAGTCGTTTAGTTTTATAACTAAAAATATGTTAATTAAAGCATTTATTCTTTATATGGACTTTCGACAACTAAATTTATCTTTCATACATTAAGAAAGCTCCTTTTATTATAGTAACCTAAAACTTCTTCTAATTAATAAACAAAACTTTAACCGTACCTAATTAATTAAAATAATGCATATCGGTGGGAGTAAGTAAAATAATATGTTCTTATTTAATGGATGATGAAACTGAAGTTGAAGGAAGCATATTAAATTTTCTATGTCATTAGTTCTTTCGAAATTAAATATGGCTTTAATTTCATCGGAACTGGTGCGTGAATTGTGTATAAAATATTGTTTGCAAGAGAAATTTGTTTTCTATAATTAGTACTGATATAATTTATTAGGTAGGAGACAGTCTAGGAAATTTAAAAATGTAGAGAAAACAAAACGTTTTTATTAAATTGAGATCAAGTGTGCCCTTAAGGGATGATGTCTGAAAGCAATAATGTGGTTAGTAGAGATGTCAACTGCTCCGGACACGCCAAAATAATTAAAAAAAAAAAACCGGTTATTAATACAAAGTAAATTTTCCTAAACTTTTGACTATTTTTACTTGCTTTTTAATTGGCATAGCACTACACTACAGAATCATATAAGCCTACGAGTTATTTAGAAATAGGGGTGGATAAAAATCTACTCAATTGAATTTATTAAACCAAGAATCACAATTGATAAACTACCACTTTAAAATATATATTTGCTGTCCGGAGCAAGTTGGCATCTCTGGTTTAAATACTGCAGAAGGTTTTTGCTTATGCGGGCGTTGAGTGATACACATACCTGCCGACTCTTCCAGATTTTCCGGAAGAATTTATTTTCATATTTAAAGTGGTAGTAATTATATACTATTTTTTCTTTTATAAACTCAATTTTTAAATGATATTGATCACCACTATTCTTACAAAAATTAAGTACATATATTACTATGCGTTACTGTCATGGTTGTCAACTTAAGTTTTCTCAAATACAACGTATTTGTTTGCTTAAAATTGAAGTTTTAATTCCATTTTAATACCACTGGGAAAAATGATAATGGAAGAGATCAAAAGTTGGCAGGTATAGATACATAAAAATTGTTATAGTGGTATGTAAATTTTTGTCATAAAATGAATGTCATGTTTTTAAAAAGTTAACACGAAACAATCCTGGTCGATTCAACTATTCGATAACTAAAACACATAGTTATAGAGTTGTGTTATGAACAGGGTGAACATTTTTAGCATTTAAGTGGTTGCTGAGTAAGGTGAATTTCCACTGCTTCGATAATAAGTTATCTACCACTATAGCAACTTTGAGGAACTACTGGACGCTCTGTGCTTACAGAACTGCAACTATAGTGTGTTTATTTTTGTACCTTTATGTGCTTTTTTCGATGTTTTGATTTATTCTGAACACACTTTTATTATTGGGTGTTAAGGTGTTACTATTTTCAAAAATTTCGACAGCTTTACATCATTGTTGAGTACTTCTAGCAGTGCAATGGAGCAATATCTTGTGGGAAGATCTATTTCTGGTTTTCAAAGATCTTTTGTGACCAAGGGAACAAAAAATCTTTCAAAATGAGTTTTGCCATAAAAATATTTGATTTCAAACTTTTATTCGAGTCACCCTGAAATAATTATAGAATGATACCCTCCGCTAATCCCATTTCGAAGCTAATTCTCGGTAATTTAAGCGCACTTAAATACTGGTGGCTTCCTTTTTTTTACAAAATTGTTAGATTTTTTATATTTTTATAAAATTTATTTTCAGGTAGGTATACGACATTAAATTACTTTATAATTTTTATTAGTTTGTTATTTAAAGAGTTTGGTGTATGAACCTGGTGAGACACATTTTCTGAGTGGCTAGAATGGTGTATGAACCTATCGAGATACATTTTCTGTGTGGCTAGAATGGTGTATGAACCTGGCGAGATACATTTTCTGAGTGGCTAGAATGGTGTATGAACCTAGCTAGATACATTTTCTGAGTGGCTAGAATGGTGTATGAACCTGGCGAGATACATTTTCTGTGTGGCTAGAATCAGGGTAAGAAGAAAAAAAGTGTTGTGCAAACTATTTTAGTATAGATTTATTAAAAGGCTGGGGTAATAACTCCTTGCCTCATTTTATTTATCATACTTAATATGAAATAAAGTAGTGACGTAGTTGTACTGACTTGGTTACCAGTAAAGTTTATTTCTTGTACAAGGTAATTTTGAAATGTGACCAAACTGGTCGCCAAAAGCGGCTAGTACTTAATATAATTATACTAAAAATGTTCTTGCAAATTTACTGTCTTATAAGTATGAGGAATTGCATCTTACCTTCCGAACGCATCCAATAAAGTTGTTCCGCACCCGTGAAGCAGGTAGAAGTTGCGCTGCAGTAGTGGGTGCTGTTCCACCAACGTATATAACGCTGCTGGATAGCATGGAGAAGGATCCAGCCGTGGAACCACGTTCTGTATACACACCATCCACTGTCACAGACAGCTATAATTAAATGGAAAAGAGAATAGATTCAGTAAGTAATTAACACTAGGTTTACGGGACACACGTCAATTTGACGCATTTCGAATTTTATTAGGAAAATTACAAAACCCGTTTGCATTTTTATTTAATCTCTTGTAATGACTTTTATCCATTGATCGAGGTAAATATATATTGAAATCTATTTTCTTCAAAGGCGATGAAATATTGAAATTCCCTTCGTGGTATACCTATCTCTTACGGACATGCGTCAATTTGACGCAATCGTAATTTAGACAAAATTTTGAGTAAACATGCAAACACCACATCAATAATAAATAGGAATGTACCGACAAAACTTCGATCCGTTATCCGATATCGTTATCTCAAATGAAACAAGTGATAAACAACTGTTGCCGATAAGCAATAATAGGAAGAATAAATGCAGAATGTCAATTGATGTCTGATTTTGAAGGTTTCAGTAGCTTAGTTCGAGTATTGAAAAAAAAAAAAATACTAGAATATTTTATAAATATCTATGTCATATTTTCATTTTTTTTCTTATAGTATATAATTACATTGCTTTCTAAGTGCAGAGATTCCAACCGCTCTGGACATGCCAAAATAATTAAAAAAAATGGTAAATAACTACTAAGTAAATTTTGCAAAGGCAAAGTGGTGAATTATATAAGTCTATGAATTATTTAGAAATAGTGGTGGGTAAAAATCTGCTAAATTGAATTTATTAAACCAAGAATCGCAATTGATAAACTACCACTTTTAAATATATATTTTCTGTCCGGAGCAAACTGGCATTTCTGTAAGTGCTGTTATATGTATTTGTTCATGCGTCAAATTGACGCGTGTTCGTAGTGATAGGTATATAAGAAACATCCGTAAACCTAGTGTTAACGCAATAAAAAGTGTACAGTGTTCTTATAAAAAGACGGGACACCCGGAATAAGTTTTGATCCAATGATCGGGTCATCAATTAGCGCAGACGATATTTTAAGTTACGAAATCAGTCACAAAAACGTACTTCATCTGAATTAACATGAATAACATTGTTGTCAGTTTTAGAACTAAATATTATTGTTTAACATAATGTGGTACTTAAAATATTTCGGTTCAACTAAATGTGGAAAAAATATCACAATTCTTTAACCACAAATTTATTTTTTATAGAACACTACTAATTCTACCGTGTACTTGCTAATAAGGCTCAGGTTTGCCAACATTTTATGTTTTTTGAGAAAATATATTATAGTGGTAGCTAAGTTTATGTTGTAATGTATGATTCGTTTTTTCATAAATTTCATTTAAAGTTATTTTACACACCATTATGTGTAAATGATTCGACATTTTATACGAAACGCTACTTCGTTCAAGGCTTTTAAAATATTAACAAAATTACCTAAAGCTCTGAAAGCTTTAGTTTTTAATAGCTTACCACTCTATGAAATATTTCACAAAAAACATAATAATTGGCAGCCCTGTGATAAAACTGTCATTATCAAAAAAATTAACAGGCGGCTAATTTTTTTAGAAAACTTGAAAAGAAAAAATATCACAAAAAATCTCTCTAATAAAGAAGAAAGAATCTTTCTCATAAAATTTATTAATTAAAGCTACTACTGCTACATATATAGCATATACGTTTCTTTATCTCATTAAGAGATGATAAATTAGAAGCTTAAGTTAGATCAATAGTTTTAATAATTACACGATGAAAATTGTAAACATAAAATACTTCCAACAATTTAAATAATAACGCAAATGGCCTATATCTGTTTAAACTTAATGTGTTTTTTTTTGCATCCGATTTTTCTTACTACTATTTCGTTTGCATTTAGAAGTAATTAAATTCATTAAAAAATAAATAAATATGAATTGTAGCTCAATTCTTTTTATTTATCTTAAATTTTGTAATTAATCTAAATACGACGCTGCATAATTTTTATTCATTTTTTTGATTAATGAAAAAGAATCTAAGGTTAATATTAGATTAAAAAGAAACTTACATGGCAAAAGCCCGTAGCTCTTGTAATCTGAAAAGAGAAAAGAATACGATATTATTGTTATAGAATTATCAATCAGTTTCTTTTTCTCAATTTTGTTGTTCGATAAACCTAGCACATATTTATAATAGTAATATAACAAAGTATCAATAAAATAATATAGAATACATAATAGTATAATATATAATAGTATAATATATAATAAATAGTATAATATATAATAAATAATATTATATAAAATAAATAGAATAATATATAATAGTATAATAACAACAGATAAATAAAAAAAATAGGAAACAATTTTTGATTTGTTAATGCTCATACACCAATGCTTGCTGCTAGTTACAGGGCAAAAATAAGAAATTTTGCTATTGGCCAGTTCTAGCATTTTTAAGCATGTCCACTTTATTTTTAAACGTGCAGCCACTTTTTTTTTTAAAAAAAAAATCTAAAATTTTAAACGATTAAAAAAACTATTAAAATTAATAAGTAAGTCATTTCTTTTGACGCATTTCTCAAAGCATGGCAAACATTACAAGAATATTTTCTAACCCGGAGAAAAATTTGAAGAAACAAGCGTGAAACAATATAAATTTTAAAGTAAATTTTAAAATATTCATAATAATTCAATATTTATTTAAAAAAATAATAAAATGCATAAAGAGGGCATTTTCGTCGAGAACAATGATGACAGGATGGTGACTAGCGAACAATTTTTTTAAAAATTATTCTGCTGCTGGTGGCGACCTTTAATTTTGCTTTATACATTGCTAGTACAATGCTCTTTACAAAGTTTGAAATTCAAATGTTACGTAAATATGACATTCACTTTCCCAATGAGGTGACCCAGGTTGGAATCCCAGAGGTGGCAGGTTGATATGAATTCTGCTCCCGGGGTTCGCACTGACCACACTGCTGACGTAAAAAAAACCCGCAGTGGTATAACCGCAGATCATGGGTTAGAATCCAGAATAACTGTGGAAGGTTTTTGGGATTTTCCTCTTCATGTAACTCATATGCGGATTAGTCCCATACAAAAAGTTAAACACGACTTTTCAAATCAAAAAGCCAAACACGAAAGTCGAACAAGGCAAATTTCTCCCAGTACTTGATGCAGGTATTTCCTTGTCTTCTGGATTGGTTCAAAAATTACAAGGCTACGAAGTTAAACATTGGTAGTTGTAAACTCAGAATCGGGTCGGTTGTTCAACACTAGTAATAAAATAAAAATGTCAAAAACTCGAATGACATTGACTATTTTTTTTTTTTGCCATTTCACAATATGACTTATGAAAAATATTGCATTTATCCCAGGTAGGCCATAGTCTAGAAAGATTTAAAAGCTGGAAAAGTTTCAGAAAGTAAAAGGCTTTAATTAATTGCAACTTAAAAGCTTTTGGAAATTAAATATTTGTGTCAAAATGATCAACAAAATTAAAAAAAATTTAAACTTTTAATCTTTCCAAAAGCCTTGTAAAATATTAGTAATCTCTTCTTAAAGTTTTCGACATTGTCCCTACCCTGATTTATCCTAATTGTAGCTTTCGGAGCAGCTCTAAGCGTAAGTAATATTAATACATTTATGTAAAACATTGATATTTACATTACGCTAAAAATGACATTAATTATATTCCAAATTACATTATTTAAATTACAAATTACTTTATTTACTTTACAAATTACATTATTTATGCAACGTAAAGCGTTCCCGCAACAGTCAGTTGTCACGGATACCGGAGAGGTCATAGAAGTTATGATTATTAAGTTTCGTGATCAACGGCATGATCGCGGCAATGTAGTCAGCATAGCTCACAAGCCACCTTTCTTTCCAGAAAAACAACAAATATATATTGCAACAAATATATATTTAGCATATTCATTCATAATAATACAGCACCTATTATTCAAAACGATGAATAAAACTAAAGTTGCAATTGAAGTAATAATTTAGAAGTTACTTTATCACTGTACAATTCTTGTTTTTGACTGAGAAATTTCGAATGCTTAATAACTGAAACATCTGTCTATACTTAAAAGCTGGACTTAATAAATGTTTGCACTAACCCCATATCCATATTAGTCCGTTCTCTCTGACTAAGGGAGCTAAAAAAATTTTAATTTACCGGCAAACTACTAGTTGAAATACAAGAAAATCTGACAATAATTATTAAAAATAATAAAATTCTGAAAAAAAAGAAAAAGAAAAAAAAAGGAAAATAGCAAAAGCTCATATGATTTGTAAATTCAAGCTACCTTCAAAGGAAACGATACTAAAAAAGATCAATCATAGAAAAAAAATATGAAAGTTCGAATTTTCCAGAACTTTTCATTAAGCTTAATTAATTTCCCGATGTTTTCATCAGTAAAGTAATGTATCATCTTTAAAGAAAAATAAGCAATAAAAATTTCGACAGCATCGATTGTATAAGAATCACGCTTATTTGTTTCTTTTTTCGTCTAAGAGATATAAATAGAACCCAATAATTCTGCTCTTTCGTAACAACTAAGATTAAGAATGATGAAGTGGAATCTTGATTAGAAAAAAAGGATTTCGAGCAAAAGTTTGAAAATTAATTGATTTGTTTTAGAGAGCAATTTATTTGCGTTAAGTGTTTCGCTATTTTTTTTTTCTCCATCGCTATTATGATTAAGCTAAATAATTTCGTTAGTGCCAAGTATTTCAATTTGTTTAATCTTGACTCAGTAAAGAAAGTTTTATTTAATTAGCATTGCTGAAATTTATTTTTAAGTTACCTAAAATTTATATTTAAAGTGAAAACTCTAAACTTTGCTCAGTTAATTGGTTCTTCTTTTTATTTGATCATGTCTTAATTTTTTTTGCGAAACAATAAAATGAAGAAAACGTTTTTGCTGAAAATATAAAATTTATTATTTCATTAACTCAATTTGAAAATGCAAAAAGAATTTTCAGTGTTTTTTAAAATATTATATTTGAGCATGCACCGTCAGAAAAATTAAAGAAAAAAATTATATATATATATATATATATAAGCGTTTCAGAACTTCTAAGAGGAGTANCTAAATATCTAGCAGAATGAAGCGATTTTTTAAACAATGAATCTTACAATATGCAACATATTATTTCAATATCTTATTCTTAAACATATATATATATATATATATATATATATATCCGATTTTCCTGTTCTAAAAATCGATCGTATTAGCTCAAAGGAAGTGACTTCAAATATGAAAATTAAATAGCGCTGACTATTCATTAAGTTATTGAATTAGATACGAAGACGTACTTTCTATACGAATAAGCATTACCTTTTTTCGACTGATTCGGATTTTTGAATATCAAAATATAGAGGGTAGCTGCAATCTGAAAAATATAGCCTCATTAGTTTTAATTGATTAATTTAATTTAGATTGCCTATCTAGTAAGGAGAACGGTTGAAAAATTGAACCCTTTAGTATTGATTTCAGTTTTTGCTTTTTTTTTATCACATCTTAAAATTTGTTGCGAAATTTAAAAAAAGTTTCTGTTCTCACTTATAAAACTCGTTTAACTAAGCTAGATCTTATTAACACGTTGAATACCACGCTAATTTTACATGGCTTGCCCGTCTGGCCACAACGGTAAATAACTACAAACTAAATTTGCATATAGTAGGCAGATTTTGCTTGTTTTTTAAAAGATTTAGCATTACATACATGAATAAAATGGTGAATTATATAAGCCTACGAATTGTTTAGAAATAATGGTGGATAAAAATCTACTAAATTCAATTTATCAAACCAAGAATCACAATTAATAAACTATCACTTGAAAATATTTATTCGCTGTCCGGAGCAAGTTGGCATCTCTGTACATATAAATAAAACTATTTTTGAGTGTTCTATGTTGCATTAATTTCATTAAATTCATTAATTTCATTATTTTAGTAACAATAATAATACAAAAAATTAAATAATAGATGCAAATTAAGAATAGTATGCCTTGCAAGTTTTTACATTTTTATAACTATATAATTTGAAATCTCAGCGTACTAAATATGAGCAAAATCAGTTGAATAGTTTCTGAGTAATAAAATTTCAAAAATTTCATATTTCTAAACTTTTATTTATCAAAATCATTCCATCAATTTCGTTCAAAGTTTCTATTTTGTCATTTTAAATTATGTTGTTTGAAATGGTGCCAAAAAGCTATGGAAGCTGGTTATCCAGGGCTTTTCACCAAGCAGGCTCATTTAAAATTTAAGAATTCTGTATAACGCTTTCAACTAATAAAATTTATTATTTTATTTTTTGCAACCAACCTAAGTAATTGAAAATTTACGTTTATTAAGAAGTATAATATTTTTTCGTTGCAAAATAAATTTGAAATAATCGTAGTCGCAATGATGAAATTATAATGACGAGATTACATTAATTAGATTGTTCTTAAACATTATCGGCGATAAATTAAAAAAAAGTGCCAAGTAATAACCTGAACTCAAACGAAACCTTTGATAATCATATTCAATTCCGAAATTTTGACCCAGCTTAAAATAGCCTGAATGTTTCGGGGATGATTACAGCTTTTCCGTGTAATAAATAATACCAGAAGTTGAAAGCACGTGTTATGGAACAAATGGAGTGCATTTTCGGCAAAAAAAGGGACGAATCACAAACAATCGTTAATTTTGCCTTATAGAGTGAAGGATATCTTTATCATCTAGGTTTATAAGAAAATAATTACTGAAGAATACTAACGTTATGACCAAGAACGTTTCCTTGGTGAATATTCAAATTTACAGGGTATGGACAATAATGTGGAAACACTCAATTTAGAAAATACGTTTCAATTATGAGCTTCAGAAAATTTTAACACGTTCACGCCGGGATGACCCACCGGTGGGTCACGCTAGATTGTCTCATCGGGCGGCGCACCGGAGTAAAAACTGGTAACAAATAAATTTAATTATTTTAGTTTTTTTCCGGGAATAATAAAAATCCATAACTACCAATTGTTTTTAATGGATGCAATTTTTATATTGAAATGCTTCTTCGCCGTGATAAATTTC